ACTCCCCTTGGCCTGGCTTCATACCCTGGAGCCAGGAGGAGATTAAAGACAATTCCCAAAGCCGAAGGAGCTCAGAGCCTAGCTGAGGACAGAGGATGGAGCCAGAAAATGCCACTGACTGGTGGGTGTGGGCGTTTCATTCTTCACCTTGTTTTTTAGAGAGGAAAGGAAAAGGCATTTAAGACAAACTGGTTCACAGGACGCTATATTAAAAGGCCAGATGAACTAAGTTCCTTAGGAGGTGCCGACACAGGGACCACGGTGTGCTCTGACGTCAGTTTGAACCATTTGCGTATTTCACTGCTAAACTCTGCCTTAGTGATGCACAGTGTGCGACACACAGCTTCTGTGAACAAGAGCTGGCTGGCTGCCTCTGTGGGAAAAGTCTCCATCTCCATGGTGATTGGCTGCGTGTCCCAGACATTGTCTGGAGGTTAGTTAGGAGGGCCAGCGAGAGGCGTAGGCGGAGGGGGAAGCAGAAGCGGCAAACCCCGCAGGAGCAATAGGTTCTACGGAAAATGCAGTGTTTTTTATTCCTTCCCTGGCAATTCAGTATGCTGGGAGGTTCAGTGAGTGACAGACGGAGTCACTGACAAGGAATTAATGCTGTGCCATTAGCATTCTCCTCTTGAGGTTCTAAGCATAAGGGTTGACAGTGGGTGGCCTTTGCTGTTACAAGCAAATCCGAACTTCCTGTTTGGAAATGCGGAGACCTATGGCACCTAGACAGAGAGGCTAAGTGACTCCTCACCTCCTAAGGCTTCTAGACCCAACTGAAATGAGACAAGCTCTGCTATTCTAGAATGCCTTAAGAACAATAGCAATGATTTGTTGAGCACCTACTGTGTGCTGGGCACTGTGCCAGGTCTATACCTGTAAAGCTACCAGTCCTTTCAAAACCCCTACCATGTAGCTATCCCCAGGTTACAAGGGCAACAATTGTGGCTCAGAGAGACTAAGTGTCTTGTTCAATGTCACACAGTTCATGGGTCTGTTTGAGCCCAGGCCTGGGTTCTTTATACTATGCCAACTATTTCTTTTTGCTCTTGTTCTTAACTCTAACCTACAGAGTTGTTTCAAGCTATAGTTATCAACTGATGATAAGAACCCAGTCTTGTAGGCTTCTTGAAGGACAGGCCATATTCTAAGAGTTCTTTAAGTCATTATCTTAAAAAATATGGACAAAGAAGCTGAGCATAGAGAACTGAGCTGACTTAGCCACAGCCACCCGGCTAGTGGGTGGTGGAGCATGGATTTCAGCGTAGGTCAATGGGCCGTACATCCAATCCCTTAAATAACCATATCGGCAAGACAGCTGAATTTCTGGGGTGGGATTCCCGGCCTATGTAGGAATTTCGTGAAGCCCACAAGAGATTCTGATACGGTCCAAGAAGGAAGCCCTGAGCAGAGGCCACTGTGTGTCTGAAAGTCCATGTCTTCCTGTCAGCTCTCCACGCAGGCCCATCTCCTTCCTGCTCATTAGGCTGACTTTACACCTGTCCTGATGAGCCTGTTATTTTCACAACCAGAAATGTGCAGGAAAGTTTGGGAGAAATGACCCCAACACAAGAACTTGGAGCTACAAGGGAGAGGTTCTGACTCTTTCCTGCACAGCTCGGTAGTGGACAAAGGTCCTTGGTATCATTGCAGCCCAGCCATTTGGACACCTGGGAACAAGTACCTGTGGGCAGGAACTAGGTGTGGCATATGGTGGCTGGCCTGGGGTAAGGATTTGAAGAAGAAAGGGCAAGGTTAGCTGAATGGCCAAGAGCCTGGGTTTGGAGACTGACAAACCTCAACTTGAATTTCAGTTTCACCACTTTCTGAGTCAACGTGAGTCAGTCACGTAACTTCTGAGAGCCTGTGTCTTGGGCTGGGATGACTTTCACCTCCTCCTTGGGTTGGAGTGAGGGCTGTGTTGGGTACTACCTACGAAGGTGCTGTGCTAGCACATAGAAAGCTTGTAGGTTGTATGAGAAGCCCTTGGTGGAGCAGAGGTGTTGGGGCAACTGGTGTGAGACAAAAGACAGCTTAAGGGTGACCCAGTAGCTGGACATCTTCTGTCTTGGAGGAGCACACAGGGACCCCGGGTTGAGCCACAGACAAAGTGAGGGTCAGCACTGGAAGCCCAGGATGAGGGCAGAGATGTCCCCATAGGGCGGCAGAGCTCAGAGGCTGCCATTCTAGTCTGAGCACGGCTACTTCCCCATGGCAGACATCCTGGGCCCTCTTTTCTCCTTTCTGGCTTGGCTTTTCCCTCCATTCTGGTCTCTGCAGTCACTTGTCTCTCCTGGTTTCATTGGCTCGTTCTTCTGTGAACCTGATGGTGGATTTAACTTTTCAAAAGTCTCAGGTGGCCCTGGCTCCATCTACTTCTGGCCATCTTGGGCAGTAATGTGAAACCACCAGTCCCCACCCAGGGACAGTTTGAGCAACAGTGTGCTGGACAGGTACCCTTGGGATAGCGCTTACCCTGCTTCAGGGAACTGGGCAGTGATGGGGCTGTGGAGTGGGTCAGTCAGCAGCACAGGGTCTGTTGGTGGTAGTCAGGGCCCAGGTTGCACACACTGGGACTCAGATATTTGCCCTGGGGTGGATGGGTTGCCGGGCAGATGCCAGGCCAGGAACTGAGCTGTGAAAGCCAGAGCAGCTGGGGCCAATGGTCCTCTGCAGCAGACCTGAGGTCACCATCTAGACTGCAGTGAGGCGGTATCAGCCTAGCAGGAAGGTGGTGCCATCCTGCTTATGTTCACTCCAGCAGGTCATTTGCACTTGGGGTCAGGTGGATCAGGCTGAAGCTTAATTCCCCTGTCAGCAGCAGTAGAATCTTGGGTCAGCAAATTCCTCAAAGCCTCAAGTCCCCAAAATGGGGACACTGGGGTCTCATGGTGTCCTTGATGGAATGAAGTGAGTAGGTTTATCCAAAGGATTCAGCAGATCTTTGTCACATCTTAAAGACTCAATAAATGGGGAGTGCCAAGGGTTTCAGTGAGGTGAAGGCTCCAACATACAAATCAGAAGGCCCGGATGACACAGAAGAGATTGATTCTTTCTCCCTCTACACCAGTCTGCTCAAGGCGGACACAGCAGCTACACGGGCCTGAAGGGGAACTTAGTGCCTTCTGGTGTTTGACTCCACCCTCACGTCTCCAGCCCCAAGAGCATGCCACTGTACAAGACAGCTCAGTCTGCTCACCCTGCCCCTCTGCCTGTGTACACATGGTCCCTGCTTCCCGCTATGCCCACACCATCCAGAACCCCTCAGCTCAGAGGGAACTTCTTCATGAAAGGCCCCCTGACACCCCCATTGAGGACTTATCATGTCCCAAATCACACTGTAGTGATCTGTCCTCGTGGTCACCTCCTCACCAGGCTGTTCGGTAAAGCAATAATGAGCTCCTTGGATATGGGAGATTTTCCCTGTGAATCCACAGCCCCTAGCCCAGGGCCTGGCACAGGAAGCTACTCAGTAAATGCAGGGAAAGTGGCCGTTTGAATGGATGAGGCAGGTCTTGGCCACCATTTCCCATCTTGGCATTTCCCTGGCACAGACACCCTCCAGCCTGAGAGACTTGGCTATCACTGGCTTCCGGATGCCCCAGAAAAGAATTTGCAGAGTCTACTTTGTTGATTATTTATACCTTAACTTAGTGGTGATCCAAAATTAGTTTTCTTTAAGTAAATACCTTTGGGGGTAAATATTTTAAAATTTCAATGCATGAACAATCATTTCTAATGTTCCAAAAAGCTTGAGTAGTAAAACATTGAACATCCATGGACTCCCACCCAACTCGAGAAAGAGAATATTCTGAATGTGAAGTAGAAGTCCCTGCCCACCCACCCCCAGGTCCAGTCTCTTTGCAGTAGGAAACACATTTCTAAAAGTGTAGTTTGTAATGTGGACACATTTGCTACCCAGAGCCAATTAAAAGATAAAGTGAGAAAGAGGGAGACCCTCTAGAGCCAGAGTCTGCCATTTTTTAACAATGATATCTTGTCCATCATGGATTTTTGTATGATTTTATAAATTGATATATTGATTAAATATTGTTTATCAAGTAAATATTGCATGAAGTATTACTTACCTTTATTGCTGAGATTTTTGGTGTCCTCTTAAATTTGTTTTTATAACAGTTTATTGTAATATATTTCATATACTATCCAGTTTACCCATTTTAAATGTATAATTCAATGATTTTTTTAAAAAAACTATATTAAAAGAGTTGAATGACCATCAGCAAAACCAAATTTACATTTTATCTACCTGAAGGAAAAACTTTATAACCTCTGGGTGTCACCCCACATTTCTTACCCCAGCTGAAATCTACCACTAATGAGCTTCCAGTCTCCTACAGATTTGCCTAGTACTTGCATGTCCACAAATGGAACCACACATTGTTGCAACTATACTTGATCTGTTGTGTCTGGCTTCTTGAACTGACCATATAATTTCAATGTTCATACCTTTCATTCTTTTTTTTTTTTTTTTTTTTTCAGTCCTGAGGATTGAACCCAGGGCTTGCACAGGCCAGGAAAGTGTGGTATCACTGAGCTCCATCACCAACTACTTAATTCCTTTTTAATGCCAAATGAGATTCCACCCTGTGGATGTATGACATTTTGTTGGTCCATTCATCAGCCTATGGACTCTTGGGTTTTGCCCTCTTTGGGGCTGTTATGACTGTGCTGCTGTGAGCCTCCATCCATGAACAAGCACCCCCTTAAATACTGTGCCCAAGGTGAGGCTCTCACTCACCTACCTTTGTCTCAGTCCTGTACTATTCAGGAAGAGTTTTATAGATACAAACCTGCAGAGCAGGCTGATTCCCAAGCAAAGGGTTGGCATGGGCCCTGAGGGCCTGTGCAGGTGAAGGCCATAGAAGGAGCAAGGTCAAAGCCCCTCAGCCAGCTCTGCTGCTTCCCTCCCTGTTCTCCCAGTGGCACCTGCTCCTGCCAGCCCAGTCCACACCATGCTTCCCATCCATACCGCTTCCACCCACCTCTTGCTGCAGTAACCAGAGGAAAGACTGTGTATTGCTTTCCTCTTCCAAGCATCAAAACATCCTCCACCATTTGGGAAGCCTCCTGCAGAGAAGAGAATGAGGAAGTGGGCCAGTCAGGGAACAAAAGGATCCCTGCAGGGCCTGGCTGCACAGGCACAGTGAGAACAGGACAGCTGAGAGAGCCTGCAGGTCCATTTAGCAGCATGGAGCCCCGCTGGGCACAAGGCAGACAGCCTGGGTTGGGGCAGAGGCAGGCCCCCGTGAAGGTGGCTGCTCCAGGAAAACAGGTGCTGAAAAGAGGTGGCATCTCCCTCTCCAGGGAGAAACCCAGGGTGTCCGAATAGGGGGATGGTTCCCAGAGAGCCCACCCCAGCCTCTAATTTCTTCAGCTCACTCCAGATACAGAACTGAATTGCTTATGACTTCTCAGTCCCTCTTCTGCATCATGAATCCTTTACTGTCTTAAATTTTAGACCACTGGGAATGGAAAGTTAGTGCAGTTTCTTTTTGGAGTGATGATATTCTGGGGGAAGATACAGGTAACACTTGCCAACTTTGTGACTATACTAAAACCCACTGTGTTTTATATATAAAAGAGTGGACTGCATCACGTGGAATAGGTTTCAGCAATGAATGAACGAAGGAAAGAATGAACGAATGAGAGGGTACATGACTGCCTGAAGGTTGGATGGGCTGAGTTGGGTGACCGGACGGGTGTGAGAGGCTGGATGTCCTGTTGTATACATCAAGGCAGAAAGGGAGCCCTGACAACCATGCAGCTTCCCAGCAGAACCTGTGCCTCTGCTTTATCAAGGGTGGGAGTGGTTTGGGGAACATTCTGTGGCCAGAAGCAAGACAATACCATGGTTTAAAATCCCTCCTCATTATTAGAAGCGAGGGCTCCAGACACTTGTGCCTTTCTCTGTATTCTCTGTAGCACTGATCCCAAGACCTGCTGAGGCCCCCCCCCCTTTTTTTTAACTTTCTATACCCCCACTGGAAAGGAAGCAACTGGAGAGGAGGGATTTTTCTCCTGCTCTATTCCCGAGCGATAGAATAATGTTCAACACAGAGCACACCTCTGATTAATGATTGTCAAGGGAACGGATAGCCTCATTCTCTGTGGGAAGGGATGGCACCACACTCCAGGCCCAGTACAGACAAGAAAATGTGCGGAAGAAATCATCAGGTGTTTTGTGCCATCTACTCAGTGTATTGGAAACTCACCTGGGTCACTGGGAAAGCAAACTAGGGAAACCAGTCAATGGGAGCCAGGTGGTCAATTTCTGCTGCTGGAAATTTGATAGGGATTGCATGAAATCTAGAGATCGGTTTGAAGAGGTTTTTTTCATCTTAATAAGGTTAAGTCTTCTAGTTCATGAACACAGGATGTCTCAACATTTATTTTAGCAATTAATTTCAATAACTTGAAATTTTCAGTGAATAAGTCATTTCGTTTATTAAATTTATTCCTGTTTTATTTCTTTTGATGCTACTGTGCTTCAAATTGAGTTCTTAATTTAATTTTCAGAATGTTTCTTCTTAATGTTTAAAAATGTAATTTATTTTTGAATATTGACCTGTATCCTATAGTTTGCTAAACTTACTTATTAGTTCTAATAGTTTTTTAGTAGGTCCTTTGAGATTATGTGTATACAAAATCTTATGCATTGCATAAGATTTATTTTATTTTTTTATTAGTTGTTCAAAACATTACATAGTTCTTGACATATCATATTTCATACATTTGATTCAAGTGGGTTATGAACTCCCATTTTTACCCCATATACAGATTGCAGAATCACATCGGTTACACATCCATGTTTTTACATACTGCCATACTATAGTGTGTGTTGCATTCTGCTGCCCTTCCTATCCTCTACTATCCCCCCTCCCCTCCCCTCCCCTCCCATCTTCTCTCTCTACCCCATCTACTGTACTTCATTTCTCTCCCTTGTTTTTTTTCCCCCTTTCCCTTCACCTCCTCATATGTAATTTTGTATAACGATGGGGGTCTCCTTCCATTTCCATGCAATTTCCCTTCTCTCTCCCTTTCCCTCCCACCACTCGTCCCTGTTTAATGTTAATCTTCTTCTTATGCTCTTCCTCCCTGCTCTGTTTGATATCAAATCAGAGACTCTGCGTCTGATAGAAGAAAAAGTTCGCTCCAATCTACATATTGTGGGGTCGGGCTCCAAATTCCTTAATAGGACACCTGTAGCATAAGAGTGTCCTTGCTTTTTCTGTATCCTTGCTGTACTCCATTGATGGTCTTCACACACCAAGTCAATCCTGCATGGGAAATACCTCACCTGTTCATAGCACGGCCTTCTCTCCTTACTGGGTTCAGTGTGCTGGTGTGTAGTTAAGGTGTTTTGCATCAGAATTTGTGGTCGTCGCCGTCTGTACTTTTCTGTTTATGTAATGGCTTTACCTGTCTTTGTTTCAGGGTAATACTGGCCTCATCGAATGAGTTGGAAAGTTTTCTTTTCCATTCCATTTTGTAGAAGAATTTTCAAAGTATTGGTGTCAATTCTTCTCTAAATGGTAGAAATCCCCCCAGTTAAGCCTGCCAGTCAGGGCAGCTTTGTGGGGAAGGATGTCAGTCTCTTCATTGGTCAACGTCTATTCAAATGTTTTGATTCTTTGTGAATCCGTTTTTTTTAGTTTGTGACTATCTAGAATGTGTCCATCTCATTTAGCTAGTCTCATTTTTGTCATAGGAGGGTTCATAGCATTTTCTTCTTGCCATTTTTATTTTTTGAAGATCAGTAATGATATCTCCTTTATTCCTGATTTGGGTACTCTGGGTCTTGTTTTTTACTATTTATTTATTTATTTTTGGTAAATCTTACTAAGGGTTTGTTGTCAATTTTGTTGATCTTTTCAAAGAACAACTTTGGGTTTTGTTGATTTTCTCTGTTTTTCTGTTCTCTTCTGCATTGATTTCTGCTCTGATAATTACTGTTTTCTTCCTTCTGCTTACTTTGGAGTTTACTTGCTACTCTTTTGAAGTTTCTTGAAGTGAAAGTTTAGGTTATATATTTGAGCTTATTCTTCAATTTTAATATAGGCATTTACAACTATAAATTTTTCTTTAAGTACCTGTTTTAAAGTAGCTCATAAATTTTGCAACGTGATTTTATTCATTTCAAACTATTTCTAATCAACCATGTGCTTTCATCTTTGAGTCACTTAATTATTTAGGATTGTCTTGTCTTATTTCTATGTATTTATGATCTTGCTGCATTTCTTTCTATTATTGATTAATAATTTTATGGCACTGTGACTGGGGAATATATTGTGCATGATTCAAACATTTTAAATTTCTGGAATTTGCTTGACAACCAACACATGGTGTGTTCCAGGAAGCACGACATGTACTTGAGAAGAATGCGTACCTTGCCCTTGTTGGATGGAGTATGCTATAGAGGTCTAGTAGGTCTCTTAGGTCTTGGTTTATACTGATACATCAGTCTTCTAGTTCATCACTGACCTCCCAAATAGTTGTTCCATCCATTCTCAAATATGGAGATGAAACCTCCAGTACTTGTTGAATGGTGTATTTCTCTCTTCAATTCTTTCCCTTTTGCTTCATATATCTTAGGGGTCTGTTATTAGCTACATTTGTACTTAACAATTGTTTTTCTGATAGATCCACTCATTATCATAAAATATTCTTCCTTGTTCTTACTAACAATTTTTATTTAAATCTATTTTGTGTGATGGACTCCATTAGACACCGAGCTCTCTATTGATCACTTTTTGCATGGTCTACCTTTTTTCTGTAGTGTATGTTAAACTTACTGATATGTTTAAATCTAAAGTATGTCTCTTGTAAATAGCATACAGTTCAATAATTTTTTTCATTCTTCCACTTTGGGATTGGAGTGTTTAATCCATTTATTAATGCAATATCATTAATGTAAGGACTTACATCTACTATTTTGCTATGTTTTCTAAATGTCTAATGTTTTGTTAGTTATTCTGTTATTCCATTGCTATTTTTTTGATAATAGATAGATGCTTTCTGACATACTGCTTTAATTCCCTTGTTGTTTTAACTATTTTTATTTATTCTTTCCTGGGGGTTACAATGATAACTGTAACTTTTTAATTTATAATAATATTTCTAGTTCAAATTAACACTAGTTTAATTGGAATAGTTTACAAAGAATAGAAAAGAAAAACTGTGTTCCTCTATAGCTCTATTCCCTACCGGGTCTTCTTTGTTAGTTTCATCAGACAAATTTATAGCTTCATGCATTATTGGCTATGGAAACAGATTTATAATAATCACTTGATGTAGTTGTCTTTGGAATCTGTTATGGTTTGGATGTGAGTTGTTCCCCAAAAGTTCATGTGTGAGACAATGCAAGAAAGTTCAGAGGAGAAATGATTGGGCTGTAAGAGTTTTAACCCAGGTAATGATTTAATCCCCCATAGAGATTAACAGTGGTAACTGAAGAGGTAGGGTGTGGTCAGAGGAGGTGGGTCTTTGGAGGTGTGGCTTTGGGGTCTATATTTGTATCTGGCCAGTGGAGACTCTCTCTGCCTCCTGGTCCTTATCTCTGCTTCCCTCTGCCTCCCTCTCTCACCATGATGCTCAGCCTCACCTCCAGCCCCGAGGAATGGAGCGTCTATGGACCAAGACCTCTGAAACCATCAACCCTCCAATAAACTCTTCCTCCTCTACAGTTGTGCTGGTTGGATCATTTAGTCTCAGCAACAGGAAAAAAAAAAAAAACTGACTAAAACAGAATCAGAGAAAAAAGAGCTACAACGAAAACTCCATTTATAATGTCTTCCAATTTAACCTGTGTAGCTATTTTGACTGATGTCATTATGTCTTTTGTGTGGATTTAAGTCACACTTCTTACAGGGCAGCTCTCCAAGCAACAAATCCTCTGGATTTTTGTTGTTGTTGTTTTGTTTATTCCTTTTTTTTTTTTTTTAGTCTTGAGACATCTTAATTTCTTGTTCATGTTTGAAGGATGATGTTTTTGCTGTTGATAGAATTATTTGGGTGACAGTGCTTGACTTCCAGCACTTTAAATATTCCATCCCAGTCTTTTCTGGCTTCTACAGTTTCTGATAAGAAAACAACT